TACTGTTCACTGATTAGTTTTATAGGGGTTATTTTAATAGTGATTGGGCTATTGCAGTAATACAGCTCACAATAAGCGTTTCAGTTGACCTGACAGCTGCCTTAATGTCCAGAGTCAGTGTTATAAAGAAGGGTTTTATCGGATCTCGGTCTATGAAACTGAGAACCCAGAGTTTCCCTCATCTTGGGCTTAACTTACTCTGAGTTTTCATCAACGGGCTTTGGTTTGTCACTCTTTATATTAACAAATACAAATTTTAACAGTCATTTTTATTTCTTAAACCAGTAGAATTAAAGGGGAGAATTTTGAATGAATGTAATGAATTATGTTTATTATTTAGTGTAGCCTTTCTTAAATTGTCCACTGCATCATTTCAAAATAGTTAAACACACTCAACTTTGAAGGCAAGCTGCTTTGTTTGATTCTCAACTTTTATATCCATTGTACAAGTTAGATAATGTAACAACTGACAATTGTTGTAGCTTTTCTGATAACTGATTTAAGAAAGAAAGATTACAGTTACAATGTTAAATTTTATGTGCTAAAGAAAAGCACTGCAGTTGTTCTTCATTCTGTTCACTGGTTTAAGAAAGAAAAACAGTGTGACTTGCATTTCTCATTATACAACGTAATTTCTTGTGGGGCAAAATGCTTTTGCAGAGTACGACAAAGTTGAATGACTATACCAAGGTAAGGAGAAATTGCAGATCTTGCTTTGGCTGGACAATCTGTAGGCAACTGGAGGCATAATAATCTGTAAACTCATTCATACGGTCATGTAGGCTTATGTTTGAAGTTACAGCATACTGTAGTTGATTCATGTTAGAGACAACAATTTAAAAGTAGCCCACATCATGTGAAAGAGTAAGACCATTGAGAATTCTGTAATGGCATCTTTAATAATTGTATATAGATGTGCTAATGAGCTTATACAAGTTTCAGATGTTATGTAGGTCCAAGCATATATTCAGACTATGCTGCTTTGAACCAACTGCAAAGCACTACTATATCTGCAATAATAAGTTTGAATGTTTTTTTATGTGATGGAGCTGTTTGAGGGAAGCCTAAAATTTACACAATTACAATAATAATTACAATTAAATAACAACACTACCTCAGAGGAAACCCATGCTCATTCACAGCTTCATTGAAGGATGCCAGGTGGGTATCAGATCGGTTGTTGTCTGCTACCTTAAGGTACATCATCTACACATACAGAAACAAATAAAATACTACATCAGTAGTGTGAAGAATTCATTTGCCCCTGTAAAATAAATCAGCTGACAAAGTTCTGAAGGAGTAAAAACAATGTCTAAATGACAGGCGGAACAGTAAGAACTATTGAAATCATCAAAACAGTTCATTTTAGTTCAGTTCGTAAGACTTCAGCACTGATAAAACCGCATCGGCATGAGGAATAGTTTGCTGAATGGGATATATGTAAACTTGACAGGGAAATTGTTAAAGGTTAAAAGTACACCCTCAAAGTTAAAATAGAATAGAACGCAATAGGTTCAATGCGACTTTGCAAAGGCAAGTTCATGTAATTGACTTTCCTGAAACCATTCAAGTGAAAAGTCTATTAAAATCAAATCAATGGGACTCAGGAATATGCTGTAGCACTATTCCAAATACTTCATGTGATTCTTTGTATGTGTATGCCGAGGCTAACCAGTTGCTTATTTTTACATTGGTCATGAACATCCAAGAGACCATAAGGACAATTGCTACATGTATTCATGTAAATAGTCTAACGCAAACGAACAACCTTTAATTTTCAGAGATTAGTTTCTCCGCTCGTTTTCACATTTCAAAGATACATACAGACACATTCATAGAAAAAAGTATGTGAACCCTTTGGAATTACCTGCATTTCTGATTGTTTTAAATAGTTCATAAAATGTGGTCTATGTGTGATAGAACTGTATTACTATTAGGAATAACATTAGGTTGCAATAAGGTGAAAACTAGTAAAGTTAAATTTTGAAAAGTGAAGATGGTATGGAATGACCCTAGAGGTAGGCTACACAACTGATGGGTGACAGAAAACCATAGAAGTCAAGTATATTTGTTTCTAAGGAACACCACCTGTTTGTACAGAAAATAAACTGAAACGTATGAGAGAACATCTTCCCTGCTTAAAATGGGGTCAGTCAGTCACATTTTGCAGTTCTTTGTCCTCCACAGGTAAACTTCTTACCTTTCTTGAATAGCCATCTATTCCCCCAAAGATAAAGTTGAACCTAGGTTAAAATGAATCAGAGTAGAAGTAAGTCCAAAACACACTACATAAAATCTCCAACAGCCTATGTCGTACGATACAATATCTCTGAGAATCTAAGCAGAATAAAATCAGTTCATGGCACTCCAATTCAATCAAGTTCACTGTGATCTATTACTCTGGTTGATGTGATACAATACACACAATGCTAGATACCCAACTAGAAACAAAAATAAACTAATCAGACGGATACTGTGCAGACATACCTGATGAGCTTGTGATTGGTGTCAATGTGCACCATGTACTTCGGGTAAGGAACCGTGTACGTCCTCCTCACCACCCATCTCAGACGAGTCATCCTAGAAAGCACACCTACACTGTCCACGCGATGCATGGATGCACACACTCTGTCCCACTGCACTCTGTGTCCCTCTGCACTCTGTGTCCCACTGCACTCTGTGTCCCTCTGCACCCAGCATCTGGCATTGTGCTCTTAATTCCTGTGATTAATGAGTCCAATTCATCATCACTGCAGCCACTGTATGAGGCAGATAAACAGATTATTTTCAGCCATCCGCCTAAAAAGCGTAGCTCTCGACACACCAAGGAGTCTAGCGATGCATTTTGATGGCAGCCCAAGTTCTAGAAGATGTGTGAGGGTCTCTACTGACGTCGCCAATCGTGGACGCCCACGAAAGCCCTTCTGGAAATCCAGTGTTATAAATGTCTGCTCATCTCCTGTTGGATAACAGTACTTAAATTTGTAAGTGCAGACAGTAATTCTTCTCCTATATTCGCTGAGTCATCGAGGGCACTTAATAAAACTAAATTCTGATGGCAAACAAAATGTAACCCTTCCATGTCAAGAGGCTGCCTCTCCAAGACGTGTAGGTGCAATCTCTGAAGAATTTCACGCTTCAGTGATTCCTAAGGGATAGAGAGAAATAGATATTATTTAATTTTATTCACTGTAAAGTTTCCCCTTAAATGCAGAATCAGAAGCTGTGAATTGGAGGCCAACCTTAGCTTCGTCTTATTCCGGTTTCACATACAACACAAATTTAATATTCAATTTCACTACTCGCACCAGTGACATATTTGCAAATTATGGAGGGGAGGGACATATTTTGGCAGACAGCATGTCCAGCTTTGTAGGACAAGTAATATAATCACTGTTTGTATGAAAAGTGCAATTTAAATGCATTATTGGATTACTGTGATAATTATTTACCTTTTAAGGGTATGGGGGGGAAAAACCCACAAACGATTATTTATTTATACACATTATATTTTCATTTACTTTGGTGAAGTTGAAGGTCAAATGCATGTGCAGCAGAACACTTTCTATCAGGGGGTAACATAACTAACTCACCTTGGTAAGACACTGGTCTGAGCAGGCAAGCCGCTGGCTGCTAGTCAAAGTTACACAACACTGCCAAGCAAACTCATTCCTATAGTTTGACCATGTAACGTTATTCTTCACATGTAGCTCTATCAAAATATCGTTCCCTTAAGGGCATGTCTGTCAAGTCAATTTGCATACGTCAGCGACGCGCGCGCACACGGGTGCGAGCAGAAAGGGCTTCCATAAAGTCATAAAGTATTTCTGATTCATTCAAAGTTAAGAACTGCGCTGTTGTAACGTTAGAACCACAGAAGAAGCGTTCCACAGAAGGCAACATGAAAAACAGCAGCAGGCATGCAAGAAACATTGAACATGAACAGCCTTTTCTTTTTTGGCGGTTATCCCTGCCCGCCCTTGGTGCTAGGAGATGGACCGGAGCTACATTACTTCAGAGCTACTTAGCTTCTCACATGCATTGCACTTCGCCTCGTAGTTATCTTAAACAAAATGAAGCCACACGTTTGACCATTTACACATCTGACATTAGCCAAACATGCTGGTGTCCCCTTCAACCTCCACAGCACTGTGGCTTGCAAACAAACCCAGGTGCTAGTTGCACTGATGCCTGAGATGAGAAAGATATGAAGCATTTTTGTTGCAATAATAAAAGGTTTGTCAGGTTTAGAAACATGAAACATTAAGCAGAACCGATTTTTTACCCTTAAAGTCCTGACCCCTCTGGACATATGTTAAAGTATCACACACATTTACCTTCCATTGACCCCATACCCAAGAGGCTGGAGGCCCCTAGTGAGATTAGTTACATGGAGCGAGCCACACACGGATTTACACAGATTCCCATAACTGCATTTTTAATCTTTATTCTATCAAATCTTTTTTTTTTTTTTTTTTGGTGTGCTTGCCTCAGGTGTTGAAAACAAGAATTGCTGTCACATTATTTAAACAAGTTAAATGTCTGTTACAGTAATCTAAAGGCATGAATGATCGTCTCCAGTTCGGCCAGTTTTCTGTGTGTCCTCTTCCGCAGAAAGCTCATCCTCTCCCTTGTCCTCTTTTTTAAATCTCTACACCATCAGACTACCCCTTGGTAGTCTGTAGCAGTGTGTTTTTCTCTTTGTCGTAAAAGCATGGACACGGCCCATTTGGTAATTTTCTATACTGACACTGGGCTGGCCCAATCACATCTCAGAGCAGATAGAGATTATTATCAGCCTGTTGCTTTGGCAGGCAAGCCTGTGAGTCCTTAAGCTGCGTTCAAAGAGATAACTGTTGATGTGATTTGGCGCTATATAAATAAAATTGAATTTAAATAAAATGAGGTAAAGAAAGAATAATGATTAATAATTAATAATATAATTAAAAACCTGCTCTTTAATAACCTGATCTCTCAAACAACAGGTTTCACTCTGAAGAATGGAAGATTACTACATTACCAGCAGCTCACAGGACCAAAGCTACGGTTACAGCAGCACCACCTCCAAATACCACATTGACCCTGTAGAAGTGGTGACATGCATAATCGTTGCTGTCGGCCTTCCTCTGACCCTGGTGGCCATCTATGCTCTTTATTCTATGGTATGTACATTCTGACTGAGAGTTATTTATTTCCTGTCTGTGTGGTGTGTCTGTCCTACAGTCTGTCTGTCTGTAAAGGATCTGGATCTGGTTTGGGGGCTAGGTGTCAGGGGGCTGGGACAAAGGCTTGGAATGATCTATAACCTGACAGGAATAATTGACTCCAGAATTCAAATGTCCATGAAGCTGATTGGACCCTAAACACATGCAGTTTCCATGTGTGGCTCCATTCCAGCCTTCTCTTAAACTGTTGAGGTTAAAGAGGTGGTATTCTGCTCATTTTCAGGTTCAAAATCTTATTTAGGGGTTGTACCAGAATAGGTTTACATGGTTTAATTTTCAAAAACCACCATATTTTCACCTCTTTTCACCCTGTGTGCTGTACGCTCTGCTCTTGAGCTACAGAGTGATGCATCTTACTTGTACAAAATCTTTGTTGGGAGTTGCACATGCGCAGTTCCCAGGTAAGGACTACTAGCCAATCAGAAGCAGAGAAGGGCGGGTCGTAAGAAACAAGGTAGTGTGATCCAAATCAAAGGCGCTTCAGACTGAGACCGTAAGCTAGCAGGTGGTAGAAGTTACTCACAAGTCCATGTAACCCACAGGATCTGAGTCAGTGCAGACTGTCACAGCCTCTCTACGCCTCCCCTTGGCTCTGCATTGTGTTTTGGTAGGTGTTGTGTGGTGTCGTATGGAGGGAAGGAGGCACCAGAGGCTGGATTCGGGATTGTGGTTGAGACCTTCACTGCTCTTTATTGCTCCACTGCAACAATCCTCTCTCTGATACACAGCCAATACCTAACAGGGCACGGAAAGTAAACATAAAGCATTTATCTTCTTGCAAAAATAAATCAATCTCTTACTTAAATAATATTTAATTATAATAGAGAAATTAAATGAAGGTTAATGTACAGTCAAATGAAATACATCTCTAAAAAGAGCTTAATATAAAACACAAACTCTAAATGCAAGGTACCGAAAACAGCAAATGCCCCATCGTACATTTATTTTACTGAGATTAAATCACCTAATGGCTTACAGCACACTAGTCAGGTTAACCAAGAGTCACCAACAGCAAGAAACACATGCCGAGTTAACTTTAGACTAGCAGCATTTACCAAGTCTCACAAATGGCATAAAACATACGCAATAATCGCTAAACTCATGCCGCAAGGTAGTTTAGAATGTAAACAAACAGTATCAACGCACAATTTAAGTGGATGACTGGTAGTAGCGCTGATATTTAAAGATTCTTCAGATCGCTATTAACACTGCTTACCCTACAGGAAACGGAACATCCGCCGGAACGTACTTTAAAACTACAGTGTCCTGCAAGGTACAAACTGCACGAACTGCTGGACATACTGGGGAATAGACAGCGCAACAGGAAACCGAGGGGCTTACACAGGCAGCTGCCTTACATCCACAACCACACAACATCATTGTTCCACATCTTACCATCAGGACTAAACATTGAACTGTTGCCGGTGTTTCCATCTATGCTGCCCTGCCGAAAAATGCTACCATAGTGCAAATCGATAGACTCGACTCTACTCGGCCCTGCTCCGTTTTCCATTGCAGGTAGTACCCAGAGATAGTACGTAGCTTGTCGTCATAGCGACGCCACACACAACTGCCGCGGCATAATGTTCAATGCGACACACACCCCAGCGATTCTCACAGCTCTTAAATAGAGTGATCAGATGTCCTGAAAAATCCAGGACAGTCCCGAATTACGAGCAGTTGTCCCGACCCCTTTCCGGTTTGTCCCAAAAATTAGACCTAACATGAGTTTTGATTATAGTCTAATTAAACATTAAATACTGATCGTTGTAGGGTTCTCCTGCTCCAGCAGGGCTTGCAGGTTATCTGGACATTGTGTCAACAGCGTTACAGCCACAAAGTAACACTCGTGCTCTTTTCCCCTTTTTGTTTTCTTGTGGTTAGTGAAAGTTACAGTCGCGAGGACAGGGAAAGTGAAGCTTCAGGCAGCCACGGCGGAGAGACCTGACACGTGCGTTGTGCAGACATAACTTGGAGGCAAGTTCTTTGCCTCCAGTTCTTATTTGTGCGATCCTCCCTGAAATGCTGATTCAAGGAGGAGAGAGGCTCACCTTGCAAACACAAACATGAGGCTCAAACTGCGACTCCAGTCTGGTGCGTCTGTCTGATAAATCCAGCTCATGTGTTTGAGCCAGAATGCTTCATATCTGTGGCTGAAAAACTGCTGCAGAAGCTGCAGGAAATCTGGCCCTTAGTCTTGTTCCTGCACTGATTGGCCAGTGGGTCACATCTGAGATTTCTGTTGGATGAAAAAGTCAGAAATGGCTCTGACTGCAGCTGCTGGGCAGAGCAAGATGACAGATTTGGGAGGAGGTGGACTTCACAACATGTTTCCAACTGCTTGTTGACTTTTACCAATGTTTTCCTGCAGGTGAGAAGAGATCATGTTGCTCCCATCTACGTCATCAACCTCCTCATTAGTGACCTGATTCAGTTCTGCTGTATGATCGTTTGGGTGGCATCAGATGTGTATGGAAAGATATTTCACATCTTCTCATTAATTTACCTCACTTCTCTGATTGCCAGTGTTTGCTTCATGGTCTGCATCTCCCTGGAAAGGTATCTATCTGTCTATCCAGTATGTGTGGAGCTCCTTCTGTGTCTGAACATTATATTAGTTTATAACTCTGAAGCTCCTCAAAGACTTTGTGTCCATCTTGTATTACAGGTATTTGGTCATCGCCCACCCACTGTGGTACCGCTTCAGACGAACCATCAAGACCTCTGTGGTGGTCTGTGTCCTGGTCTGGGTCCTTACTGTTGTCTGTGTTGTCCTTTTATTTTTCTTTCCTGATGTGGTCACACTTATAGGCTTTGCCATCCTCTTCCTCCTTCCCTTCCCTCTGTTAATCTTCTTCCTGGTTGGGACCCTCAAAGCCCTGTCTGCTTCCATCTCGGTCCCCTCTGATGAAAAACGACGAATTGTGGGAATTTTGGTTTTGTTGCTGCTTATTTACACGCTGCCGTTCCTGCCTATCATACTTCATTTTGTGAATTTAAAACACCATGAGAACCTCGCCATCTTGTTTTTCATCTTTGTTAGGTTGAATCCTCTTGCAGACTTGTTCCTGTATGTGTTCATGAGGAAAGGGTTCATAGACAAGCTTTTGGCCTCTGTGTGTTGTTGCATAATTGACAGCAGTCCATCAGTTTTTATTCCATTAGATGATGAGCCAGAACAAAGTCAAATAATAATTTAAACCAGTTGGTGTTCCCAGTTAACTCAGTCAGTAGTCAACAGGCCCCTCGATTGGATGGTTGTGTTCAAATATATTTTCTCTCTCTCTTTAAATAATTATGAAGAAACTGTTTCACAATCTCACAATTTCACATGTGCTGCAGTGAGTGCGTCCTGGCAATTGGACACATCCATCAACCTATAGATGGTTATTTTCATTTCTCCAGCATCTCCAAGTAGAGGAATTTATTTTGTAGGTCCAATCCCTTAACAGGAAGTGATTATGTCACGGGCCAGATATTATTGTTCTAATGGCGACCGCTGATGTAGGCAGAGAAAGAGGGAGAGAGAGAAAGGGGAGGAAACAGGAGGAGAAATGGAGGCCAATAGAAAGGATAGAGACGAGACAGATCCTGTCATCTACTGAGACCATTTCCAATAAGACACCTAACTGTAGAGAACAGGAAGCACTGTTTGGACTCTGCTGTGGGAGAAGTGGCTGCTGGGAAATGTTTTGGTCAACTTGCTCTGGTTCACTGTGATGGCTTCAACACATGGAAATAAAATGTGTTTTATTAGTTTGGAGCTGGAAGTTGATGTCTGTCATTATTCTCCTTTAATCCCAGAAGCAAAGCAGATATTATTTTAGATGAACTGAGCTCATTCTAGCCGCCTCGCTGTCTTCTTCCTAAATCTTTATTTGGACTGTTGTTTGGATGTTTAACACAGGGAGAGCATCTCAACACGTCTTTAGCACTTTGTACTTTTTAAGTGTAATTTCTGCTGTTTTAGTGGTAGGCATGCTGCTGTTTAGGATGGGATTCAGAGCAGCTGTTTTGCAGCAGCTGTTGTGTTTTTGGCAATCTGGAGAAAATCTTAAACCACAGTTTATGTCATTTTCTATGAAACATTTTCTGGAAATCCAATAAAAATCAGTTTGTAGACCAAACTGTGAATGGTTGTCTTTGAGCAACTCAGTGAATTAAAAGCTGACAAATGAAGGTTCAACAAAATCTCTGCTGGTTGACAAATCTCTATTGTCTATATGAACATAAAGCCCAACCTGCTGTTACCAGGGAGGCATCCTGCACTTTCTGAAGTTTTCAGACTTTTTTAGATAAGAATTTGGGGCAGAAATGATAAAGTGTGACAGGGACAGTCACAACAGATCAGACCAACATGTTTCAGTAGAAGTTAGTAAAGTCTACTGTATGTTTCCCCTTTTTAACCTTTAGCTCATTATTAGCTGAGATCCAACAAGAACAAGCAGATTTCCCAAACTGTCAGACTGCTTCTTTAAATACCTTGGCTTTCTGCAGGGGACACTTTGGAAACTACAAACTGCATTTCTGGAAGATAAACTGCTAAAAGCTCAAAGTAATGACTTGATCAGCTGCACAGTGAACACAGTTCAAAACCTTAATTCAGGATTGAGTCATTTCAGTTCCATTCAGAGGACACACATACTGATCAGCTACATCATTATGAACACTGACAGGTGAAGTGAATAACACTGATTTTCTTGTTAGCATGGCACTTGTCAGGGGGTAGGATATACACTGCTCAAAAAAATAAAGGGAACACTTAAACAACACAATGTAACTCCAAGTCAATCACACTCCTGTGAAATCAAACTGTCCACTTAGGAAGCAACACTGATTGACAATTTCATATGCTGTTGTGCAAATGGAAAAGACAACAGGTGGAAATTATAGGCAATTAGCAAGACACCCCCAATAAAGGAGTGGTTCTGCAGGTGGTGACCACAGACCACGTCTCAGTTCTTATGCTTCCTGGCTGATGTTTTGGTCACTTTTGAATGCTGGCGGTGCTTTCACTCTAGTGGTAGCATGAAACGGAGTCTACAACCCACACAAGTGGCTCAGGTAGTGCAGCTCATCCAGGATGGCACTTCACTGTGCTCTTCACAGATGAAAGCAGCTTCACACTGAGCACATGTGACAGACGTGACAGAGTCTGGAGACGCCGTGGAGAACGTTCTGCTGCCTGCAACATCCTCCAGCATGACCGGTTGGCGGTGGGTCAGTAATGGTGTGGGGTGGCATTTCTTTGGGACACAGCCCTCCATGCGCTCGCCAGTGGTAGCCTGACTGCCATTAGGTCCCGAGATGAGATCCTCGGACCCCTTGTGAGACCATATGCTGGTGCGGTTGGCCCTGGGTTCCTCCTAATGTAAGACAATGCTAGACCTCATGTGGCTGGAGTGTGTCAGCAGTTCCTGCAAGAGGAAGGCATTGATGCTATGGACTGGCCCGCCTGTTCCCCAGACCTGAATCCAATTGAGCACATCTGGGACATCATGTCTCGCTCCATCCACCAACGCCACGTTGCACCACAGACTGTCCAGGAGTTGGCGGATGCTTTAGTCCAGGTCTGGGAGGAGATCCCTCAGGAGACCATCCGCCACCTCATCAGGAGCATGGCCAGGCGGTGTAGGGAGGTCATACAGGCACGTGGAGGCCACACACACTACTGAGCCTCATTTTGACTTGTTTTAAGGACATTACATCAAAGTTGGATCGGCCTGTAGTGTGGTTTTCCACTTCGATTTTGAGTGTGACTCCAAATCCAGACCTCCATGGGTTGATAGATTTGATTTCCATTGATAATTTGTGTGATTTTGTTGTCAGCACATTCAACTATGTAAAGAAAGGAGTATTTAATGAGATTATTTCATTCATTCAGATCTAGGATGAGTTATTTTAGTGTTCCCTTTATTTTTTTTGAGCAGTGTATTATAATAATGATAATAATAAACTTTATTTACACAGCACTTAAATCAAAGTTACATACATAGTTAAAAATAAAGAGTAGGGGAGGCAATTGTAACATTTTAAATTTTCCTTAATAACTCAGAAACTACTTGAGATACACTAGTCATCTTTTGATACAAGAAACGCATATATGTGCACTAATTAATAATACAATTGATATATTTTCACTTATAAGAACAAGACTAAAATATTTAATTAAATGCAACAAGTCAGAGTGTATGGGGGCAATTAGTAACACTGAAAAATAAGCCCACTGCATCTCAAGTAAAAGCCTAGGCTACCTCAAAGTAATGACTTTACAGCTAATAATGTTACATAAGAGTTTTTAAATGGTTCAAATTATTTCAGATGTCAGGCTCACTCTGTTCTAACTTCATAAAATTTACAAGTGAACTAGTCATTCTCTTTGCTTTCGCAGGGTCTTATACCATCAACTACTTTAAGTCCACCATAAAGACAAACTGACAAGGAAAGGAACTTTTGCAGACTTAGGCCTATATAATATTCACACTTTCTGTTAAACACATATAAAAACACACTATTTTATACAAAGAATGTTGGCCTATGTTAATTGGTGGTTTGTTTATACTAGAACAAATCCATTTCTTTTAATGCACATTTTAATATGGTTTTACATTTATATTTAGTGAAATATGCTTATTTTGAAAACAGACCAACAAGCTGCTTACATTGGGCCGTGTGGCCGTGTTTCCCCCCGAATTTGCAGCCATGATAAAATCTTGTATGTGTGTGTACTATATAAGCATAGTTTGTTAGTGTTAATTGTTAATCAATAACCTAGAGATAAAAATGTGTGCAAGTTTAGATTTGCAGTCACCTAAACTTCAGACATCCAAAAAGTTACTTTCATACCTCAAAATCAGTATTTTATTTAAAACTTCTGCTGAGGTGAAATGCTCCTGCTCCTGTTCCACAGGCAGAGAGAGAATCCTATTGAGCATGTGCAGATTAAGTATCATCACTCTACCTTGTTTCTGATTGGAGAAATTGATTGGAGAAATCTTTTCTGAAGTGATTTCAAAGATGACACAGATCCTGAGAGGCTTGCAGCCTCAAGTTCTCAGGTAGGGAGTTCCAGAACTGAGGGGCCTCGACTGCAAAATCCTTTAGTCTAGAGCCAGGACTTAGGGTGCTTTCACACATGCGTGATTTAGTTTGGTTGAATCGCACTAGAGTTCTCCTGTGCAGCGCATTACTTGGCTAGTTAGATTGGTAGCGGGGTAGTGTTGGTTGGCTCACCTGTAGGTTGTGATTGGCTTGCGTGCTTGTCGGGGGTTGGGGGCATCAGGTGCGGGCCTGGACTGGGCTGGTGTGCGGCTCTGTCCTGTGTGCATGCTGTGCATCCTGATAATTGTATTTCAGTTCTCTGAGGGGTCTGGCGACTGGTTGTTGGAGGGGTGGGGGACCGGGAAGAAGGGGTTGACGGAGTGGTTTGGGGGTGCGCGCTGGTCCTCTGGATTGTGGTCGTGTTGAGTCCTAGGGGCTGTTGTGGGTTGTGCCAGCTCCAATAGCCTGGTGGTGCTCGGAGGTCTCCCGATTGTGTGGGAACGGTGAGGTGGGGGGGT